AGCTGCTGTGCCACCCCTGCCCCACTGTACTGCACGCCTGGGGATGGTGGGACCAGCTGCATGCACCATGGCCCAGGCTGCCCCCTGCATCTGGGTTGGGTGGAGCTGAGGGACCCGCTGCGGGTTGGACAGAATCTGCTGGCAGACCAGGTCCAGTCTGCAGGTCATATTTTGCCCACTCCTGTGCTAGAGGCCCACATGATACAATATCAAATGCCACAATTCATCAGTTCAGTTGCAATTAGAACATTTGCTTAACAAATTACTTTGCACTGTAGAAAAGCTGAGTACCAGTGACACTTTCTGCGGGGGGCTGAGACTGCAAAGGAGTTCTGTTTGCATGGACCACATACCAGATTCATAGGTATCATAACTGTATATTGAATAGGGATGGAACTTTGCGGCCCTGGTCATCCTATCACTGTAGTGTATAATTGGTAATTCAGAAGCACAGACATACAGCAATGTAAAGTCTATGGGAATGAGCACAGTCTCCAACTATTTGAGAAAGACTTGTTACAACTGTTAGTAAGAAGTGATATTTGTATTTCCATGGTTTGAGTCTTTCTCATGTTGAGCTCAATGGGAACTTAATCTCTGACATCAGTGCATGTAGTATCAGGCCATAATGCTGAATTGAACTGACTTTAAATTAGAATGAATGATTCCCTTATCCAGCCATTTGTTACAAAGTAAGGGTGCAATCCTGAGAGCTACAAAGTAGGTTCCTGCTAGGTGTTAAGATCCTGTGATCTTTGACAGTGGTTTGCACCTCATTGGTGAGCTCTGGTCCTGATTCAATGCCCTCTGAGGTCATGGGTCATTGACTTTACTTTGACCTCACTGATTGTTAGATGAAGCACTACAAAAACAGACATAGCATGCCTCCCTTTTGTCCTGGGATCCTATGGAGTTACCAGTGCTATGAAGTATGTGAGATACCTGTGAAGTTTGTGAGATAAAATGTGCTAACAGTTCCCCCCCACCCCTGTTTACTTTTGTAATTTAATTACCAATCATCCCAGGGACAATCCTATCAGGCTGTGTGCCTTCCCTGGCTGCCTACTGGCAGAGGAGCACCCATGCACCATGGAAGGGCCCGACATTTAAATAGCTGCACTACTTCTCTTTTGTCCTAGGTTTTGACTTGGATGAATTCTGCTCAAATGATAAGTTTGTTTAGAGCCTTTCAGAAAAAATGTTAGTTGGGATGGCAAGTACTTCCAATTTCTCCTATTACAGTGTGAAGACTACACGTTTGACTGTAACAACTTATTATACAAACTGTACACTGAATGGAGTTAAATTTTACAACCACAGAAATACTTACAGTAAGAGCTACAGATCCCAGCAGAAGCACAACTGAATAGACCAGCCCCTTGCTATTTATCCTAACCTGTGAGAATCAAATACAAAGAGCACTTTAAAAATGTTCAGCATATATTAAAGAGTACATTGGAAAATTAAATGTTTCTTGATGTATACTATTCCATATTCCATTCTAAATAATGTTTACAATTCAAAACTATCTTACATAATTTAAGCCATATGAATCCTAGATGCTGAGTCCTTGATATATTCACTATAACAGAACGGGAGGATTTTTTTAAAAAGGTCAGAGCAAGGGTGTGGACAATCACACAAAGCACCTAAGGGCTGTCTGTATGGTATAAGGCAGAGGCTGGGCTGAGTCATGCCATGTTCGCTCCAAGAATACTAGGTCCTGAATTGGAAGTAGTGCAATCATGTTAGGGTGGCAATGTGCACACACAATGAGCTCTGCTGAGGCAGTTGTTGGCATGTGTGGAGAACTACACAGTTTGGGAGCCAACTTGCATGGAGAAGGCCCAGTGTATCTCAGATGTGTTGCCTTGTGTTGAACAGAGACGATGGTACAGCAGTTTTGGCCAGCAGATCAAGGAAGATAAACATTAACATCCTTATTTTACAGACAGGTAAACTGAGCACACAGGGTTAAGAGATCTGCTCAAAGCTGCACACTGACACCAGAGGTAGACATACTTAGCCTTCCTCTCCTGCCACACATTACAATTAACTCCCACTAATGAAAACAGGAAATAACTGTATCTTGTAGCATGGAAACTGCTCCCATACTGGCTGATTTCTTGCCTAAGAAACAATCACATTTTTATTTGTTCGAATAAAAGAGGTTAGGTTTCTTTACACTGCTTTCTATTGCAATATGTTTTAAGTAAACAAAAAATATATAAACAATTATGAAATATAAATATATACATACAGACGATCCATAATCAACCACCATCGTTTGCAAGCCCCATGGGACTCCAAGGCCTACTAAAATGTCAAATACATTGCTCCCTATTGTGTTGGATACTGCCATATCACCAAGGCCTGGGGGGAAAAACAAATCTCAGTTAAAAACAAAGCACAGGAAAAGCTTTTGAAAAAAGGAGGTGGTGCAGAAAGAGAAGGAGACAGACAGTGCTTTAAACAGAGCTGCCTTAGCACTGCAAATTCCACATAGGCCATTGGCCACATATCCAAGTTCAACAGCTAACTGGAGCAACATTTGCATATCTTTTAACAATACACAAAAAATACTCACAACCAATATATTTTATTTGTACTCCTGTGGCTTCTATCAGCTGGGACAGGTGGAGAGTAAACACCTGGTATTTGAGTTTGATGTCAATGAAAAAAGAAGTGTTTCTTCTTTATCTTATTCACTCCACTTTATTCACTATTCAGCCAGAGAGAGAAGCTGTGGGTTGTATTTTCTGTTGGGATGCGCTCTGGGAACATGTCCAGATAAGCATGCACATGCAGTGTTCAGTGTTGCAAACCACACAGGTTGCACATACAGTCATTTGCCATGCTGCTAATTTGCAGCACAGCAGGTTTTTGCAGCATGGATAATTTGCAGCACTGTGTCAAAAAACCTGTGCCTGAAAAAAGTGGGGTTACACATGTGGCGGCAGAGTGTGCTGCCTAAGACTGGAGCCTGACCGGCTGAAGCCATGGCGCAGCTGCTGGACAGGGTCCACATATTGGATCGCTGCTGCTGGAGCCCCAAGAGGCCCCCAGGACTGGCTGCTGGGCCAGTCCAGGTGCTGGCCCCAGTCTCCCCTACCCTTATCCCTCTGGGGCAACTTGCCACATGCCAGAGGTCCCAGGGACAAGTAGCAGTGGCACAACTATGTGCCACTACTATTTGTCCCCAGGGAAAAGCATGTGCATGCTCATCTGGATGTGCCCTGGGTAGCTGAGTGGTGAAAGGTCATCCTGAAGGAGGCTCAGCCTGGTTAAAGTTGAGGAACACTGTGCAGAACCGTCCTTACTAGGGGCCAACATCACTTCAGAAATGTAACTAAACTGAACCACCCCAAACAAGTAATGCAACATGAAAAAAATGGGTTGGGGTAGAAGTCACCAGACAGACCCAGCTTCTGCAGACTCTCTGCTTCCTGCATCTAGTGTCAGCTGGCATCTGGTTCTGATAAGGATTTATTGCTGAGAGAGCCAAAAAAGAGGCATACACCCAGTGGAAGGGAGGGGCTATCACCAAAGAGGAGCTATCACCAAAGAGTTAGGCTCTGGAGCAGTGAGAGACACGTGGGTGAAAGTCTGTTGCGCTCCCGCTCCCCCAAAGCCCCCCAGAGACCCCCCAGCAGCCGCGGAGCCCCCCGCTGACCCCCAGCACAGCTGGAGGTGAGCAGGGCCCATGGTGGGAGGGGGTTAACACTTAGTGAGTGGAAGGAGGCGGCTGAGTGAAGCCGGGCAGGTCTCACCCTGCCCAGGCCCCTACTTCGCCCAGCCCCCCAGGGAGCTACATGACCAGAGTCACGTGAACAGGCTGCGCAAACAGGTGCGCTTGTCTGCCAGCGCGTGAGTTAGTGTGGAGTGCGCGCAGGAGGGTGCATGGGAGGGCTGAGGCCCTGCCTGCAAGCCCCCTAGGGTAGACAGACTCAGACCCAGCTTGCCTGCCAGCGGCATGACACGGATGGGCACGCGCCGCACCCAGAGGGTAGTAATTGACCGAAGTCACTCATCATGGTGCCCTGTGACCAGCGGGGTCCCCCAAGGCTCTGTCCTTGGACCCATATTGTTCAACATCTTCATTAATGATGTGGACATTGGAGTCAGAAGCAGACTGGCCAAGTTCACCGATGACACCAAACTCTGGGGCAAAGCATCCACACCAGAAGACAGGCAGGTGATCCAGGTTGACCTGGACAGGTTCAGCAAATGGGCAGACGAGA